ATAAAATAAGTTGAAACTCACTGAATAAGTCCCTGACTCTTCTAGCACCCTGCCCAACCAGGATCTCATCAAACTCTGGTCCCGCAGCGTGGAAGAACGGCACTCTCGCTTCACCAGCCACCGCTCGCGCTAATAAAGTCTTGCCGGTTCCAGGCGGACCAACTAGCAGAACTCCTTTGGGCAGTTTACCGCCTAGAGAGGAAAACTTCTCTGGTGATTTCAGGAATTCCACCTGTGGAAGTAAAGTTAAACATTTGGTATATTCGGAAACATTCTGTATTTTTTTGTAGCAATAGAGCTCCTTGTGAAAGTTTCTTGTTTAAGCAGGAATTTAGTCTTGAAATTAAATATTTTTTGTCGAAAAGTAAATAAATAAATAATAAATAAAATGTATATTTGAGTAATACAATAAAGTTTACATTAACAGTGGATGGTACCTACTATTAAGCTTATCAAGCCTGTGTCAAGAGGTACCACTCTTCCTTAGCTTTAAATGCACATTTTACGTTTTTAACTTATAGTTAATTAACTTGAATCTCAAAACGCACGCGCGCGTGCGAGTGCGTCCGTGCGTGTGTGTGTTAACCTGTTGCCATTTGCTCAAACAATTTGGAATAATTAGTAGACTACGTCATCGACGTGCTATCTATTTGATCTTACTTTTAGCAGAATATCAAACGTATAAAATCCTGCCATTGACACACAAATGGGATGATTTTAAATTATCAGATGAGATGAGATGGAGGCCCTGGTGTTAAACTAAGCTTACACTATAAACACCAAAACCGACAATGAAATTAATTAGATTTTGGAACACCAAAATCGAAAGAATTTGGAACTTAGCGATTGGGTTTCAATAAGGTTCATCATTCATCAGTCTGACTTTCGGCTTAGACTTTCGATCTTTGTAAGATCGAACACTTAGAAAAAAATCCTTGGATTCGAACCAACGTCTCCCAGCAAACTGTGCCAACGAAGCCACGGAACAAACCAGCGAACCTTCCGAATTTTTCTACGTGCAGATCTTTATTTTTTGTTTTTAACGATTTCTTTGTCGTAGATTAGAAATTGTGAGAAATCTATTTCTTCAGCCAGGTACCTTTACGGTTAAAAAAAAAGGTACCTTTACAGTTAGTTGCAGCTGACTCAACATGTCGCTTTAATAATTTTTAAATTTATTCAATGTTATCATCATCATGTTTGACCACCATGTTATTTATTCAATTATTTTTGTGAAATTACTCCACAATTATGAATACAAAGATGTGTTCCATGTTTTGCTTCGACTTTACTAAGGAAATATTTCAAGCCTCGCCACTGTGGTGAAATTACAGGGATTCGTCAACATATGTCTCAGGGTGACAGGCGCATTGGCAGTGCCCCTCAGACCTTAGCGATTTAAAACTGTGAGTGGCACTGCAACTGTTATGGACAAGCGTGTAGTAGGACTTTCAGGCGCACGACTTGTTGGTCCCTTGATAAAATAATTAAAAAAAATTGTATCCAAGGCACCCAAGGCTGCTGAAACTGTATTGTGCTAGAGCATTAGCGACCTAAAGGTACTCACCACGTCCTTAAGTTCCTGCTTCGCCTCATCAGCACCCTTAACGTCATCAAAGGTCACGTTAATATCCTCAGGGTCCACCTCCACTTGGTTCCCGAGTTGGATCCTGCGCATGTTAGCATAGGTATCGCTGATTATATTCTGCTGATGTCTTCGTGTTTATAGATACAATATAAGTGGGACTTGACATTGAAGCTCTCAGCTAATAAACGGTGTATTATCAAAACATTAACTTTTAAAAAGAGTAAAAACTTCATTAACTCTGCTCCTGGTGAGGTGATGAAAACGGAGGAAATAAATTAACTTGTATTTTTGTGTCGTAAATGAAATAACTTATATTCATTTTTGCCTAGAAATTAAGTCAAAGAATCATTTATTACATAGGTAAAATTTTTATACTTGAAAGCATTGACTTACAATTATATGGACGTCGGGTCCGAGCTAAAAAGTGTCCGAACTTATAGGGCGTTAAAATCGTATACAGAGCGTCATTCACACTTTAGTCTTCATTTGTTCGACTGACAGCGAAGCAAGCAAAATTAGGCAGTACTGCGATGACATTACAATTTAAATTCAACGTTTTAGCTTTTTCATATTCCTTTACATGTCACTACGTTTAAATAGGTTGACTTGGGACATTTTTTTCGTGGTTTTTGTATTAGAACTGTCGTCCATTTATTTGTAAGACAATGCTTGAAAGTGTCATTTTTCAAACTACAGTTCGTTCATTGTGCTGACCTCCCTAAGAAGAACGAGCAAGAAACTCTAGGGATTGCTCTTTTCAAATAAACTTAAATGCTATAGAATACATTTTGAATCATATTTGTGCGGAATCTAGACTGATGTTGTCTTTCCATACATCTGTATCTAACTCGTAGTCTATAATTTTTTTATATGACTTTTTAATCAAAATAATTTCAAAGTTTTAAACTTAGGAAATGATAATCTTAATATATGCTCCGGAATAAAGAAATCGTTTACCTTAGCTAAACGAAATCGTTGTACCATGAATTTGGACTTAGTAACATTTCGTCGCCTACTTTCTCACTCGTATCTTAAAGCATACAGTTACTTAGAAGAAATTTAGAAATAATAGAATAAATAGAAAGTTTATCCGTCTCCTGCATAATCACCCTTTAAGGCGACGATTTGGGTTACATTTAAATAGATTATAATTATTGACGTTAGCCTAACGGTGTGATCTACAGTTGAAACGTGCTGCTGGCGCTGCTTGTACCGCTTAGAATGTTCACTAGGATTGTAATGTTCTGTTGGATGGAATGTTGTAAGGAGAGTGTAGTAGCTTCCGCAGCCAGCGCGCCTCCGCAGCCTGCATACTCTTGCTTTGCGAGTTTAAAGTTCAAAATTCAAAAGGGTAAAGAAATAGCGGTAATAAATCCAGTTTTATAAATATTATTCCCGTTTTATTAATATTTGTGATCTTTAAAATGTTTATTGCTGCTAAATGCTTGCTATTGATCTCCTAAAGGAAAATGTTAACGTATGTGGCAGTTTATTTAATTTCCGTATTGTTAATCCACAAGACATCATAAAAGCTTTTAAATGAATACATGTTAAAAAAACTGAAGTTCTCTGGGGCATATCAACTAAAGTTATAGACTCAGTTATTGATCTAATTTCCACACATTTAGCTGTAGCTTTCAATAGGTGCGTTGACGAAGGTGTTTTTCCCGATTTAATGAAATACTGCAAGGTTATTCCCTTATTCAAAAGCGGTAGGAAAGTTGATCCTAGCAACTACAGGCCCATTTCAACTTTACCAGCTTTAAGTAAAATATTCGAAAAGGTTATGCTGACTCAATTACTGTCCTATTTCGGTAGGAATCATATTTTTCATAGTGAACAATACGGGTTTACTAGTGGTAGATCGACTAGCGATGCGGGGGTAGCGTTACTAAAACACATCTTTGATGCTTGGGAAAGGGCCCAGAATGCTATTGGTGTTTTCTGTGACCTCTCAAAGGCATTTGATTGCGTTTATCATATTACTCTTATTAGGAAGCTGGAACATTACGATGTAAATGGCAAGACGTCGAAACTTGTCTCGTCATATCTCAACAGTGGAATTCAGAAAGTAGACATAAATGGAGTGACTTCTTTGGGTTTTCGGGTAAAAATGGGTGTTCCGCAGGGCTCAATACTTGGATCTTTCTTATTTCTAATTTATATTAATGATCTGCCATTGTTTGGTAAGAACCATTGCGAAATAGTATTGTTTGCTGATGACACATCCTTGATTTTTAAAACCGACAGACATGACATTAACTATGACCATATTAATGATACCCTCTCTAAGGTAGTTTATTAGAAGACAAAATGTGTTAAATTGGAATTACCTAACGTAAAATCGACTAGTCCAAGCATAGAAATAAACGGAGAAAACTTAGACCTTGTTAATAAAGCAGTCTTCTTGGGAGTGACCTTAGATAGTAAACTTCAATGGTTTCCACATTTAGTTTCCCTGGCCAGCAGATTAAGCTCCGTTGTATACGCAGTCCGCAGAATACGTGAGCTTACCGATGTTAGTACTGCTAGACTAGTATACTTTAGTTACTTCCATAGTAAGTCCTACGGGATTCTCATGTGGGGTAAAGCGGCAGATATTCAAACCATATTTGTATTGCAAAAACGAGCGATTCGTTAGGCTCTCGGGTTTCTCTCAGAGAAAAGTTTAAGGAGACTGGTATCATGACTGTGGCATCACAGTACTTTTACTCAAATATTTTATACGCCCGTAAAAATATACATAATTTCAATAAGAAAGAAGGTATCCATAATATTAACCTTAGAGCTAAGTCCAAACTCATGGTACCACGATTTCGTTTAACCAAGGTAAACAACTCTTTTATGGGGAATTGTATACGTTTTTACAATAAGATTCCGGAGCATATATTAAGTTTATCATTTCGTAATTTAAAAACTACATTAAAAATATTTTGATCGAAAAATCTTATTACAAAATTGAATACTACGTGTTAGATAAAGATGTATGGAAAGACGACACGGCTCCAGAATCCACACAAATTTGATTCAAAGTGTATTCCATAGCATTTAAGTTTATTTGAAAAGAGCAATCCCTAGAGTTTCCTGCTCGTTCTTCTCAAGGAGATCAGCGTAGTGAACGAGCAGTAGCTTAAATGTGACGTTTTCAAGTGTAAATTTATTTTACTTATAGAATAAATAATCTTTGACTTTGACTTTATTGCACAAGAGATTTTTGGTAACTGGTAAACGCTTCAAAAAATGAAAGAGAAGACGTGTTCGCTGTCGCGATTGGACAGAGAGTGACGATGGATTGAGAGGCAAAAGGAATGATTAAAGAACAATTCAAAGTTTAAAAACGAGTGGCCAGGAACCGGAGAAAAAGCTATAAACAAGTGGGATGACGATGTAAGGTCATAACGTCACACAGTCTCTCAAAACAGAGGCTATGGGTTCGAATCCGGGCTCGAACCTCTAAGTTTCTCGGATTTTATGTGCGAAATTGAATTTGAAATTTACCATGAGCTTTTCAGTGATAGAAAACATCGTCGAAGAACGTTCACAATCTTCGGAAAATATGCGGACTCCCCAACCCATATTGGGTCAGCATGGCGGACTATAGCGTAAACCCTCGCCTGGGAGAGACATGTGTTGGTGGAGATAATTATTTATCTTGTTTTTCCGTGAAAAAAATGTAGGAAGTTTGTCATGAATAACATCATAAACAACAACAAATTTTGTAACGATAAATTTATTGAAATGTATGTTTACGAAGAGCAACCCCTAGAGTTTCTTGCTCATTCTTATCAGAGGAATTTGCCTTACGAATGAGCAGTAGAGTTTAATCAGTATGACGATTTCAAGTGTAATTTGCTCACCTATGAAATTAAAATTATTTAACTTTGACTGACAAATTTACCAAAAATAAACTATTAAGTTTTTGTTTTACTTTCTGACACTTTTTAGATCTGTCACATACAACCTTATTACGAAATAAGGTGGTAAGTTCAAACGTGCACTTGTCCTCCCCGACGACCCCCACCCCCGCTCGTGCGTTTTGCATCGGTATTTATCTTTTGTTACCGAAGAGAGTTTTCTCCACTTAAAAAGATTTTGGTGCGGAAGTAAAATCTGAGAAAAATCATGGAACAAAAGTTGTTGTTTATGATATTAGTAATATAGTCCTAAAGAAGTTCATAATATACTTAATAATGATAAGCGATATTTCACGCCTGGACAGCTCTTCACTTGGTACAAAACACAAGTCCGATCTTGCGTGGAGTAATGCAGTCACCTGTGGGATGGCTCAGCGAAGTATGAACTTGAGGCTCTTGATTCGATTGAACGCAGAGCCAGGAGACTTATTGGCGACTATAAGCCTGAATTTAAACTTCATAGTTGCCTGAATATGTTTCGGTGAGTGTGCCCATGAGCTCCATCAGCTGATCTCGCCCTTTTACCATCGGACATTGGGATAAGCGCCAGGAATGAAATTCCCTGCCTGCTACTGTGTTTACGAGCGCATACAACCCGAGCATCTTTAAGGTGCGACTGTATAGGCATGTTCTAGGCGAGCTCGTTCCATCATATATCCTATCTTTGTTCCAGAGCTAAGTAGTGGTCTAGAGCAAGTCCGTTTAATAAAAAAAAAAGTATTTTATAAGTAAACCTGTTTAGATTAGTCTACTAGGTATAAAGGCAAGTTACCGGAAGACGGTGCCGCTGACGGAGGCCATGAGGCTGACGAAAATAGCGAGGAACAACACGATGGTCAGTAGTTGCTGCACCAGTTTTAAATATTTTGATGCTTTTGTACCCCGCACGTTGTCAGGGTGCGACCCTGGAGACAAGAAAAAATTATTTATTGTTTTGATATTTTTTAATTCATTGATTTGTTTCCGACGGAGACACAAATATCTCCGTTTTTCAAGATTACGGATGAGAAATATTCTATCAGACGCTCCTGTATCCGTTTTCAGTACCAACGAGTATGTAAAGCTTTCAGCTGTTTGTATTTCGTAAAAGATGTTTCTTATAAGAAATTGTCAAATTTGTATACAGGCAATATGTGGAAGAAACGCGACAGTGGCACAGTAGAAATGGGGCGCTGTCATAGAACAATAAATACAGTAAAAGTGTTTAGTTTGCATAGCACGTGTGCCAACAGTTCGCGAAGTTCCGCAAACTTGAGCCATTTTCGCTTTGTACATTATGGTAGTGCCAATTATCTCGCGCAAAACCGTAGAAAAATGTCTTATTTTCGCTACTTTGGAGAGCAAAAATTGTAGTCGCACTTATAATATTATCTGTGGTGCCGTTTCGTACCATCATTAAGCCTTATTTTATTTAATTTTATTTAATTTTAATAAATTTTCAATTTTCTGTTTATTTTTATCTCAAATTCGTCGTCGTTCAGCTATTAACAGCTAGATGGCAGCACATTGATTGAAATTTCAATATAAAATCAAAACGTCGTAACTTGCAATATATTGAATAATAATATATTGAACTTTCAACGATATGCCAACGTGGTAAAGTTTAAATTATATTAACAGTCCAGAATTTGTTACTTCTTTTAAAATTTCAAACTACGACTACTCTTATCAAGATTTCTTAGGGTCGTATTCTAGAACTCTCTCAATACGCAAGTCAGGACTTGAGCAGACTTCAGTATGATTTCAAGCACTGGAAATACGACTCTAATGGCAAGGGCTTGAGTATGATTTTCAGTGGTCACTGCAATACTCAATAATAGTGTTCCAAATTATGAATGTTTGAGTTTTGGCGACAGCGGTTCTGATAGCAATCGAGCTTAACGCGCTTTCATTATGTTGAATTGCTTATTCTATCGTATAGTTTGGAAGTGAAATACTCAATATTTAGTTTATATTGAATTTATTTAACACACTGACACTATTGCGCCATTAAAGTCGGAACAAAAAAGAGCGAGGCCAGAGTTGCCCACATAAATTTACTAATTATATGCTAATGTAGCCAACACATTTTTTTTTCCATAGGCGCTGTAGTTGCGCCACTACTGATTTAGATGCACAGTTGTAGCGCCACTGTCGTGACACGCGCGTGCCACTTTTGCAATCAAAATTAGTGAACTAAAAATTACTGAAGCGATACAAACGCGTGGCTGCCGCGCCACTACAGCGTTTCGTCTAGTTTGAAGCCACCCTTAGACCTCCGAAAGCATTGATAGAGGTAATGAGACGCTCTAATGCTCTGGCCACATAAACGCGGTAGCCGGAGTTTTTGTAATATTCTAGTTCTTATGTACCCTGCCACATTGAAACCGGAAGGCGGGGCTACCGTGTCATACCGGACGGTATGACAAACAGGCAGACCGAGCGCGAGCCGGACGTTAGGCGAGTGCGGGAGTGTTGTGTTCCATCGAGTTCCATGAAACACAAAGCGGTAGCGGCGGAACGCGGTCCGGGAGCGGGACTTCTCCGGAATTGCAAGTTATATTTTTTTACAACTGTTGAGTGTGTTTTTATTAAGTTTTAATATAAATTTGACCGAAAAGATTCTCGCATTGATGTACCCAATTTCTTTTGCGTTGCTTCCGTAACGTACTTAAGGCAGAAATCTTGATTACTACCCGATCGCGATATGCTTTCTTTAAAATCTGTGTGTCACGCCGCGAACTACACGTGGGACTGCTGTGTGGCACGCCCCGGTATGCATTCGCCACTCCAGCAGGTCCGGCGCCGGGCCGCTTTTCCCGCTGTATCGCGTCTGTGTGGCCTGACTTTAAACCCCAAAAATGTCCGGGGTCCTTATCTTTTGCGTGAATCTCTAACCAATAATCCCGAATCCAAAAAATCAATTTCTAACCAAGAATCCTAATCTGAACTTAGTTGGCCTAATTTAAATATTTGGCCAAATGAGACTCAGGATTAATAACCGCATCAACAAAAAAAAACTACAAAAAAATTTAAGAAATCAACAAAAAAGATCGCACCGGTAAGGAACCCCTCGGAGAAGGCGATCTTGATCTGGTCACGTTCTTCCTCGTTCCGCGCTTGGTCGAGGAGCTTGCGGATCTGCGACGGTGCCTGCGGTCCTAAAGACGCCGGGCGGGTTGCAGGCGGCCACTGGCCCGGGCCATACTCTCCTATTTAGGTCCCCCCTGACCCGGGCCACAAGCCTCGAGTTATGGGTTCTAAATTGCTATCCCTCGAACTGATTTTTGGATCCTAAACTACTGGATTCTTAAACTCCTAACCAAGAATAATAGAATACTATCGATGATATTTATCACGGAAGAAAAAGACAATGGAAGTGCTATAAGCCTCGACTACTAGCAGAACCGTTGTCGCCAAAACTCATACACTCATAATTTGAAACAGTATGAAATCTTTCTACGATTTTCAAGGTTTTGCGTGAGGTAATTGACACGACCATAACGTACAAAGCGAAAATGACAGGACTGAGCTCAAGTATGTGGAACTTCGCATACTGTTGGCACACGTGCCACGCAAACTAAGCACTTCTACTGTATTTATTGTTCTGTGATATTTATATGTCAGTACATTTTTAGTGAAATTACTCCGCTAGTTTGTTATAATTATACATACAAAGATCGAACGCAAAGAAAAATTCGATCTGAAAGGACTTGAACCTGGCATCTGGATGCCAAATAAAGACCACCGCTCTACCAACTGAGCGATCGAGTAAGGAGTCCCTACGAATTTCTCGGTTAGTTACAGATCTTTTTGTATTGGTTTTTTTCCGCTTTTATCGCAGTAAGCTATACTTGTGAGAGATCTATGAAGCTTCTCATTCAGCCGGCACCTTTACTGCTACCAGATACTGACGTGAGATGTCGCTGTATTCAGTGTAATTATTATTGAATATCATGATGTAGTGGCCTTAGTTTGGAATACAGAAGCAGGTTCTGATTCCTGTAAGATTGAAGGAATTTGTCTTTGTATTAATATTATAACGAGTACTTCTTTACTGGAGCCTCAAATTATGGATTATGATCTACTAATCAAGGTCTTAGGAATCCTTTTCTATAATTCAAGGTCAACTGTTTAACTATACACGTTCTAAGGTCAGTAGCGCCACAGTGGTTCCTAAAATAGTCCACGAGTCTAGAGAATTTCTAACCAGGTTCCCTAATAACCTCAGGCCCTTTGTATTCAGATATCGATCCCTAACCACGACGAACTAAAAACCTCATCCGTGGATTAACAGATATACATACCTGCAAGATAGCCCTCAGCAAATGCAATCTTGATCTTGTCTTTCTGCTGGTGTGACATGACACCGTCTTCGAGAAGCTTCTCCATACGCGGCGCCACGTCAGGACCAGGGGTTGTCGAGTGCTTCTCCGCCTCATTACTCATGCCTGGAAAATAACAAACATGCTTATTAACGACAAGGTAACGTATCATGTAGGACATCATCAGCCAATACATATTGCCAGAAATGACAATGCATAACGTCGCCCAGACTCGGATCATTTATCGGCGCTGCAGTCTGTTGATGTTACTATTATATTCTGTTTATTTACTTTGTGGTGAACCTCTTTGCATGTATTTGCGAAGGGTACATATAAAAGATTCCTAAATGTAGAAAACCATACATTTGGCATGCCAATTTTGGTACTTTATTACGTGTACTAAACTTCAATAAAAAATATTAAAGGCAACCAGAATATCATTTGTTGATTTCCACCGACTCGTCTGAGAAATTATTTATACTAACCAACCACATTTTTATTATTCATGCAACTTACAGGTAGCTCATAAAAAAAGTTCCTAGCGACTTTACAAACAAAACCTAACAATTCTCTATTCTACTCAAAATTTTTCACGCATAGAGAGCGATGCCACACGCGCAACGCGGTGTAACGCCGTTTACGTACGCACCGCAGCACCCCTCACCGCTTCGTCTCCTGGATCCTTGTACGATGCGCATGCGTTCAGTGACTAAACTTCAGTCACTCTTGTAACTCTCCTATTTAATCACAACGTTGCGTCGATTCAACGCACCGTGTGGCATCGCTCTTATAATAAAGATAGAAAAATTAGCACCGCACAGACGTAGCAGGAAAATGAAATGATTTTTAGTTTCTTAAGTGTGTGCACATGTGACACGAAAACTAAGCATTTGTATATCTTTCTGACGTTACACATTCTATCTTGTCGCTCATAAGCTAGTAGTAAGTGAAATCATGACAAAACATGCAGAAATTGTAACAAAGGTTATACCTTATATCAAATCAAAATGATACCATGCATAATTATAATGCAATGCTCTATTCGTGCAGATAAACAAAAACAATTTTATCACAATGCACTAGATCACATATTTTCTTGACGTAAACGAATTTGTTTATCCAATCGTAATATAAAATGATTCAGAGTAATTAAAACTATGGATACAGTTAACCTTAGACCATATGCGCCATTGGACGAAGCTCGGTATGGTTGTTTATTCGACACTTAAAATGTATATGTATGTATACATGTTTATTTGCCATCTGTGGTAGTCTATTGGAACCAATTCGTCAACTCTAACTGTAAAATAAGCGGTGGTCATAGTAGATGAAATTATTGATAGTGTCAAATAGAGCCACATTAAAGCTACCAAAATCAATGTGTAAATCTTAGGCCCATATCAATAAATCTATATGAAACCGAATCGATATCTTTATTAATAAAAATCACTTGAGTGATAAACATCAACAATTATTAATTGATTACGCATCATTAGAAAGTTGTTATTAATAAATGTCATTCAAAATTTAAGCTACGGTTCAAATTCAAATTCAAATTCAAAATTCAAAATTCATTTATCTCAGTTCAAAGTTGTTAAGGTCTTGATCACTGTAGATACGTAAAACATAGTTTTCCAAAGTGTCTCTGCCGCCCTCTAGAGGACGCTGAGGAGGCCTCGGAAGCAATTGGGGGTTGATGCTGTCCAGGGAGTGCTGCCGCATTGAATAAAAACCTTAATTACCTATACAAACTACAATACAAAAATTAAAAAAATACATAAAATACTATATTTTTTTCCTTGTGTTTTTTTTGAGTTATTATAAAACAACTGGAAAAAAAATGGAAAAGGGAAATGGACTGGGCATCTGTTGCGTGGGCCGGAAAAATGGAGCAAAGTAGTCACCAATAGGTACCCGCGTGAAGGAAAGCGTAAAACATTGATCATATGCGTCAACATCAAAGATGGGAGGATGAGACCGTGTCGAAGAAGAGTAGCTCTTGTTGCACATTGAAAAGATCTGGAGGAGGCCTATGCCAAGAGGCGCACTGAGTTAAGAGATATAATGTAAAAATATCTCTAACTCAACTTAAAAAGGCTATATAATTATAAAAAAACGTGTTTTACAATAACTTTTGTTGTGGTGTTTGTTGATGGTAGGCATTGAAACGTTTTTACCTTGCCTAAGTGGGCGGTGAATCAAAAAGTTTGGAAACCAATGATCTAAAACGATTTATTATGTCTTGTAGATTAGATTCGCTTGAATGCATTAAAAGATCCAAGTGATCTCTTGAGACACACTGAGTTGTTTAATAATATAGACCTTAATGTAATTAGCAATTGGTGTAATAATTTTTGCTACTTAGTATTCATACCATATGGTTTCGAGTTTTATTGCACACACTTTAGAACAACCAATAGCTTGCTATTAACAATTTGGTGGTTGATACCGTTTGTATTCAAATTTTAAGCACAAAGGTCACATGTACTTAAACAGCATTATTGGGTGCAAAATTCGTTACTGCAGAGTTTGATAGTCTATCTGTTTGTTTACGTAAATTGTTTTTGTTTGAAATAATGTGTACAATAGTGTTACACGAGGGCTTATGGGTTACACACATGTGTGCTCCATTTATAGCAATTTTTGCAAGGCTATCATGAAAACCCTGATGCTAATGAGATTTAAAAACATACAGTGCTACCAGAGTTTCGATTATGTAGATAATAATACAAATTTCATTGAACGCTATAAAAATTTTAAATAATATATTTATTAAAATGAAATTCATATCTTTAAAAAAATCAGTTTTATACTGTGCTTTGTGAAATTTATATAAATTTCACAGAAGGCTAGAATTCTAGACTAACATGGTTATTGCTCATTAATAGAAATAAGAAAACTTAATGATGGATTGGGGATATCCATTAAAATAGTTTTTTATATCTGACAGGAAGATGACTCGACTCCACCTGATGTACAGTGGAAAGTGGAATCCAAACGTGAAACAATCACTGCCCTAGCCATCTCTAACCCTGCATGCCTACAAGACGCCTTTTCATGCCTCATTTGAAGGACCCCATATCATAAGACGGAGGGAATATATGTGCTGGGATGGAGTTTCAGTTGTCGACTGTGCCACAAGGTGCCACTAAATCTTTTATGCAAGTAGAGAAGGCGAAAGTGGTTTGTCAGGAGCATAGCGAATAGAAGTTCATGGTTGCTGACTACTTGAATCCCAATGGGAGAAAAGCGTGATATAAAATCCTAGATATCATCTAGCCGATACCTAGGATTTTATAATACTCTATGCCAGTAACTAACTTTGCCAAATAAAAATGAGAAATGCTAAAGTCACATGTTATGTTCATTTCAGTGACTTCAAAACTTTAAAATGCTCACTTGAAAACTTGGCAATTTTGACATATGATATCTTACATTGGAGGCCTAGTAGTAAAGCAGGCCTACTCACTGTAGCCTTGAATTGTCCGATTTGTAGTTTTCAAGGAAAGACAGATGTTATGTATTTTTTTATATTAACCTTTATATAGACAGTTAAGGTTAAGGGCGCGTTCCCACTATGTCGTGAAGACAGATTGTCGTGCAGTTTACAGTGTCGTGGCTTGTATATTTAAATGAAGTTGTTCACATATAGCACGACACGATTAACTGTTGTTCACGATTTTTTATCGTTACAACGACAAACTGTCATCACAGTGGGAACAGCTAGAACGATAGTCGTCAGACGATAAAAAAACGTCACGATAAAACGTGACGACAGATTGTCGCAGCTCCTATTGTCGTCACGATCTAGTGGGAACAGCTAGTCACGACAGTCGTTCAACGATAAAAAATCGTCCACGACAGATAGTCGTGATATGGGAACAGGCCAGACACGACAGTCCTCCAACGATAATAAAACGTGACAACATAGTGGGAACGCGCCCTAACTTTTAATAATTGCAGATGCACACGGATTATGTTTATAATGTTAGAAGCACAAAATAATAATAGCTTCAAACCTAGAGCTTTAGTAATTAGTACTATACTGCCCAAGGGGTGTCATGACGTGTAAAACATGAAATTGTTTAGGAATAATCAACATGATTTTTTTATTTTAGCTTTTTTTGTTACATCATCTGACACTGATGTAATTTTGTGTAATAGTGAAATTTGAAAAAATATGGTCTAATGACAAACAAAAACCTATCTAGTGTGTCGAGAATCTTGACATGCAAGTTATGTACCATATCATCACATATACGATACAATCCCACATGCAAAATAAGTGCTATGACGTTCAGTTAAAGTTGCATATATATCAGTCCATACGTCACATTATAACAAAACAATTCTGGTTCGGTTAACGTAATAACTGTATGGAATAAATGCATCAAAATTATTTTCAAGGTGATGTAAATTTCTTTATGTGCAAAATAGAACTTGTTTTGGAAACAGTTTAAGTTAATATTACATCATCATTGTCTACATTCCTGTAGTTCCGTTAACTACTGATGACTGTGACATTACGTATTAATGAGCCCAATTAGTACAAAAAGCAATAACAATAAAAAATCTACCACCAAAAATTGCACTAAGTCTCACTTGTACTAAACTCGTAGTAAAAAGCACTAAACAAATAAGAAATCAAACAAGAAATACTCTAATATATACTGACCCATGGACTTACGCAGTCTATTTATCATGTTCGGGTTGCGCTTGAGGTCTGCATGGATACCACGCTCTGTTTTAAAACCTCGGAGTTGGACATTGTAATGGAAGCTGTTGTCTTGAAGACTCCGTGCCAGTAAACCGGCAAAATTGTCCGTAAAGTTGAATCTAGTGTTCCTCTTGTGCAAATTGATGTAAATTGTTGGTGTCGACCTGAAGGTGTTCGGACAGCCATTTTTGTTTTTTTCGAATGACTGTGCTGATATATATGACACTTTTCGTGAAGAGGTTAAGTCGGTCAGACTCCTCAAAGGCTCTCTGTAGCTACCGGCAACCGTGGACAGAACCCGCACATCGATTTTGCGTAATTCCGAAAGCTCGTTACTGTCAAAATTCCGCAAACTTTCCTCTAAACTTTCAAGGCATAGTGACGAGGCGTATGTAACTCCCTTACTTTCTTTGGATGTCACATTTTTGTACTTAGTTCCTGTGTGCTTCTTGAACCTGAATAGGCTTGAATATCGATACTTTAACTGGTTAAAACTAACTAAAATCTGCAATGACACAAAAGGTTATATTCATGACAAACATTTTCAGGTTCAAATTGAACTTCAAACGATTCAGTCGATTGCGGCTATAGTTTAGCTTCTTACCTGGTTTGGGGTATTTAAAGAATTCAGTGAGAACATGTTACATGAAGGTGAATTGTGTATTTTGTTTCCTTGTGAGTGCACTCGAAAATTTTGTAGGCTCTTACGTCAAACTTTTATTTTTTCAGTGCAAAAAATATGGCGGATGTTTCATCTTTTTCAGTTAGACTATGGGTCAGATTCGTGAAATGTATTATACAGCCAGGATCAATAAAGTTTGTAAATTAAAATTAAAATTGTAACAAAATGCATGCTATTAAAATTTTCATTAACAATACCTTAACATTGCAAGAAAAATGTTATTAATAAAAAATACTATACGTGTATGATATGAATTAAAAGAATTTTGATTCACGCATTACAAAACCGAGCCATGAAACGAACAATCCCAGTGGTATTTTTTTTTTAATTTCTTTGTATTGTCTCTGGAAAATTTCGACAGTAAAATCCAAAATGGCGACGAGCGATGACGAGCCTATGCATTTATACGAAGTTTTTCAAAACTGTTTCAATAAAATAGCGAATAAACAACAAGGTGAGTGAAAAAATGCATACCGTGGCTCATCCCGCGATCCTCGAACGGACTACCGCGATTCTGTGAAGTGTTTCATTGTGAAAATCGACTAAAGTGTTTGCGTGTTATGCCATTGGTGTTGGTAGCCTGCAGCATTTTTTCAAAATACACTTAAAAGAAGCTATCAACGCGTCCCAAACTTATTCATGATCAATCTATAATCATCATGGAAGGTATTTTCATTATAATCAGGGTGCTATTAGCGTTTTATAGCCTTACAAAGGCTATGTTTTGATCGCAAGTATATTGTCAAATGTGCTCCATCCATTGTGCCACTGTTGTTTTACACAGTGAAGTTGAAATGTTTCGAAGGATTTATTTGCTTTGACGTGTGGTCTGACGCTGTATTCAGGTAAACTTGTAGCGATCGACATGCTTTTGAGTGTAGATTTTCATGAAAATTATTTCTAAAGATGCTGTGAACGAAAGAGTCAAAAGCATCGCAGGATGCATTTTTTTTCTGTATTGAGTCAATGAGTCGGGTTAGTGTACAGCCAGGATCGCCATTGTAAGTATAGAAGGCGCGAAATATCTTTTTTATGTGTTACCATCGGCGAGCAATGTTTATGGCGTGAATTTGTTTATTTACATAGCCAGGCGCGGACGTCCTCGTTCACTGCATACGAAGCTATGTTCTATAAGCACATGCACAGAGACATAGTTATGAAAAAATTAATATAAAAATAAACAAAGCCATAATTACTAGTTTATTTAGATGGTCATCGGTTCTCAGGAACATATTTTTAACTTTATTTCATAGGCGAAGGAATTTTGACATACAGCTTCCTTAATAGTGACAGTAAAGCAATAATCTTTTGTGTAAAGAGTTTGTATACAAACTGTCAAAATTTGCTATTGAAATATGAACCTTATGTCTTATACATCTTATTTGATGTAGTGACAATGGGTTTTAATGGGTGCTATCATTTGTCCATCTCTTATGCTTGGTACTATTTTTGGTAATATTTTGAAGTTCATTTTTAATTCTTTTAATGCGTTTGTACAGGCACTCAAACAGAATATTGATTTCTTAGATTTTTGTGATTATTAGAAAGAAGAAAGAAAGAAAGAAAACAAACTGTTTATTACACAAGCACAGACACGCATATAGACAAAACAACAGAGGAACAATAATAACAATTAAAAATCAATCTTTTAGGCCCTTGGAGAGGCGAGAATCTAAATAAATCTAAATATGACAATAACAATGAAATAAAGCAATTGATACTCATTACTGAATTAAAACGATTGATAATGCAGTACCTAATTCACCATCATGCGTGTAGCGGCTGGTGCAATTGGGACTTGCTCAGCTTCAGCCACAAACAGCTTCTTTTTAAACCGTTTCATGGCGGTGATTACACAATGGAAGTGAAACTATTATTTTTCACATCTAAATTGCGTATATTTGAATTTTAAATCGCACCAATGTCGGGCTCTCCATAATCGGCTGGCTGTTGAAACATTGGTATGATTGAAATAAACAAATATTCTCAATTTACATGTGAAAAATAGTTTCCAAGCATAATTGATCATCATGCTTTACCTATTAATAACATAGTAAGTATATTCAATTGTCTTTACTCATGTAAAATTACAAATAAAAAGAATGCTTTGAATTTGTGTTACAAACTCTGAGATCCACAAACACCTGGAAATGAGGCAGTGGAGAGGCCAAGGAGGCAATCAAAAGTACCACCTTGAGATACTGTAAAAGCCTTGAGAACCATCGTAATAAAATTGCAAAACAGTTGACAATCTGCAGGCTCAAACGAATAGACATATTCCTGTTGGAGTAATGTAGTGTGCACATAAATAGGAAGAAACTCACAGTGGAGAGTTTGCCTATGCCAACATAACCGATTATCAGCATATTTGCTAATAGTGACATTGATTGCAAATGATTCACTCCAAAAAAATAAATTGTGTTACAAAATTAGTACCTCGGCTGTTTACTCTGTTATTAACTACCATTTTTTAGATTTGTATTGTAACTTCCTTTGTTGGAGTCCATTGCAACACAAACTGTTATATCTTGTTATATCTTTCATCATCAATGCGTATAAATTTTCTTATTTTACTTTTTTATTCTTATATTTTCTATCCATTCCAAAACGTAGGTTCTCTTGTTTATTTTTTAAATGGCTGAAGTGTTTAAATACGTAGGTATATACCGAAAAAAAATATGTATAGAAACAAAAATACAATATTATTTTTTTGAGACAATAATTTGTATAGTCAAGTTCCAATCCATTTTGAACAAAAAGTAAACAATCCTGTTTGGTTAAAATTCTAAAGCAATAAATTTAATAAGTAACACTTTCACATATATTTCGAAGATTCAACTTGATATATCATTACTTTTCCCAACAATATTCATTCGAATAGCATCGTAAAATCGTATTTGAAAAATAGTCTAAAAGTGAGGATTATTCATCTATACTCCTATGACTTGTCTATGGTTGCGTAGTGCTGTTCAAAAAAAAACATTCGGTTCAATCAATTAAAGTTTAGTAATTGATTATTAAATCGAACATTTCAATCGCAATTGAATGAGTATCTAAGTGTAATGATTTGAAGGAAGATTTAAATAGAAATTTTAAATATGCTTATATAGGTTATGTAGGGAAAACCACTATATGACCCAATTGAACATATCGATTCATTCAAGGAATTAATCGATTTGTAGTTGGTGTTACAATTGGCCATCACTAAACCGTCTATGGTCAGGTCAGTGACTTGTTTGTTTACTATTTGTTCAAAATGGATTGAAACGAAGTATGGCTAATATTTTTTTTGTTTTATTTTTAATAAGGCCTGTAACACTTGGGTGTCAATGTCGGCCTTATGATGTCAATCCCTGTGGATTATATTATTCTTCTATATTGTGTCGCCTCAATAAGAGACAAGACTTTATATATGAGTATAGAGGTTTAGCCCTCTTCGCCAACGGTTCACCCAACACGACATTTCCCCAACCTAGCTAATAATTAATAGGAAATAAATAATTTGTCACCAATGTACTCAAATTTCAGTAAATAATACATATATACTCAGTTCAAGAAGGGGATCTCCACGTTATTCTTTAGTTCAGCTAATTGACATCCCTTAAACCCTATCACTGGTCATCAGTATTCTATCACAGACACACAGAAATGCAGAGCAGTAGGATTTTCTTAACAGTGATCTATTTCTACTTATATATGTAGGTCAACTTTTAACAGAAGGTCTGTTGTTTTGCGAGACGATTTTGCCAACGTCAGGTTTAACAGAAATGGCCATTAGATAGTATTTTGTTATTGTGACATTTTTATGGTTTCTTTTTTTCTTCATTATTATCAAGTTTAGATACAAACAAGGCATGCACCTGATATTAACTAACACATACCTATATAATTATAATTGTAACGTCATTTTAGAGGTTTAAATCGCAAAATCCCATAGGGCTCTAGTTTTACCAGCACCCTTATCCTACAAAATCAGAATGCAGTAATGCTCACATTACGGCTTGGCAGCAGCAATAGAGTGGTGGTAGTACTTCCCTGGACAAATTAATTTTTTACAAGCAACTCTATTGCTACTCAATGACACCGAAAATGAAGAATATAATAGTAGCTTTACTGCAGATAAGAGTAGAATTGGAAAGCCAAGAAAGATGTAGACTTCATACCACCAAACTGGTAAAGACTGGTTGTGTGATGCAAAGGTTGGGGTACAATGGAAGAGTTTGAATGAGGCCTACATTTAAAAGCAAAACTGTTCAACAACAAATATTACAACCTTGTAAATGGAATTATTAATGTGTTTTATTATTATTGGTTAAAACACAACTCTTCTCCGCTCTGGTAGATAATGATCTATCAAAGTGTTGCAGATCTTTAGGTCCATTGGGCTAATTCTTATAATGGCCTATCAAGTGCCTGTTCTCAGAACTAAAAAACATTGTGCTCCAAATGATATAAGAATTCACAATTTGTACCATGACAAATATCTACCGTTTTCTATTTATTCACTTTATTTACACAAGTGTCTCCTCTACTTATTGGTGATTTTGTAATGTGGGAATTAAGTTGTTTAATAAAAATTGTTTAAAAAGTTTGTGCTCGAAGACACTGTCTGAAATTGCCATCCAAATGACGGTTTGAAGTTTAAAATCGTAAAATAAAAGAAGACTGTTCTAATATTTATTTTATTGACACAATTATAATTACGCATTTACAACTAAAAGTAAACAATAGTACAATTGACTCGTTTATATTTTAAATTATTTATTTTTGCAGTTTTTGGGACTCTGCAACAAGATCTCGAGTGTGCTTGTCATTATTTTTCGCACTTATCTATGATAGGATCCATCCCCTCAAAAAAAACCTGTTTTAAATAATAACAGTTAAAGACTGCCTTATAGTGTTTCAGATGATTGTCATATTGGAAATAAATGCACATTCTAAATACATAACATCAGACACGTTCCTCTGCTGGACATGGCCATATAGTAGCAGCCACAGACATATATCTAGATCTTCT